TTATTATTATTATTATTATTATTATTATTATTATTATTATTATTATTTATGTTGGAGGAAAACGCCAAATGTTTTACATTATTTAAAGATTGATTGCGTTGTGTTAAAACGTGATGCATAGTTATACGTCAGCCCATTAATGAAATTCTGAGGTATTCATATCAAAATTAAAGTTAAACTAACAACTCAAACCGATATATCATATCTTGGATGGTCTTAAAATCGCAATCCATCATGTTTTATAAATATGCCTAATTATTCGTGACATTTTGTACAATGTAATCGATGGGAAGCATTGAAAACAAAGAAATTGCAATAACAATGAATATTTGAAATCAGTATCGTATATTGATCAATTCACAAATATCATTGTCAGTCGTTGGAAAAAAAATTCAAAGTGATTAGTTTATAACTCCTAACTATAAAAATAATATAAGTTCAATGTTTTTACATTTTGTAATTATGAATACTTCAGAAAAAAAATATACATATATATATATATATATATAACGGTACTAATATGACATTGAAAATTTTAAACATTCCACAACAGTCCGTCAACCCATATTCTATCTGTTTCACCAACGTGATTGTGTAGAAATAAAACACATTTCAGCAACGATCCTACACATTTTTCATCTTTAACCCACCCGTCATGCGTATATCAATACAAGCTACCACCACCATTGGAAGCCTTTTCCTATTATAACATGACATCAAAAGTACATGAATATCTCTCTTTTTCTCTCCCGCTCTATCTCTTTCTTTCTATCTATCTATCCATATATTTCTATATCTTTATCTTACTCGCTTGCTCTCATTCTTTCCACAACGGCATTCGTCATCTAATGTGATTTGATGGAATTTCCACATTGTATGGTGCAAAACGAGTTTCGCATCAATCCAACGTACAAAATTACCAGAGTTTCTCGACCTTTCCCCGAGGGATATTGTTGGTGAAATTCACACATAATATTCAAACAATATTTCCATCCGTTAAAAAAATAATTTGTAAACGCTGCCGTCGAGGGAACGAAATTGAAATTTAATTAATTGAAAAATAGACCAAGTACAAAAAAACTAAATGTTTTAAATCACTCATTGTACTCATCTCTATGCAGAATATAATACTACGCGTTGTTTATAATAATATTAATCTAGTCGTAAATAATTTCATTTAAATACAAACAAGGAAAAATTGTCAATATTTACTTAAAAATGAGATTCTCTCGTACATTTCACTGTTGTTTTTTTAACAACTGAAAAATTTCAAACTGATATGCGAAAGTGAATTTATGTTTAACTCTCAATTTGTAAATATTACAAAAACTTTTTGACTGTCATAAACTATTCTGAAATATATCTTTAAACTGCAAGAACTTAATTTTATATAATTATGAAGAGCAAATTTACTTGAAGAGTTCAGATGCTATTAAATCAATAATTTCAATTAGTATTTAATTGAAATGTATAAGCACGATTAAATTATTAAATTAACTATTTTACCGCATACGACATATATTTATCAATTGTATTATGGTAAATAAATCAATAATTTGATACGCATCATAAGACCTAACTTCACTAATATATATCTTAATAAACAATTTCAAAATGAGCTGTATAATCATACAAATATTTTTTATATTTAATTTATTATTATATAGATAAATTATAAATGCGTCAATCACACCAGTACAATAAAACAATTATTAAATTACAATCTATCATAAAACAAAAATCTCGAGAAAAAACACAACCTCAAAAGAGACAGACAATGCAAATTAATTTATCTTATCAAAAAGAAATCTCTTTGTTAAATAGTTGTACAACTTTAAAATGAATGGATTTTAAAGCAGTTAACGTTAAATGAATGCTAAAACTTTAAAGAGGTTATAAAAATTAATAGAAATTTTCTGAACAAAGTTACCTTAAAACAAAAACATTAATAAAGTCTTTATATAACAAACGATCTAGTACTTAAGGACTTCTATAAAAACGATGTATAGAGTACTCTAAGCTCTTCTATTAATATTCAAACCCAAAATGGTAAATTAAAAATCGAAAAATATTTAATTTCTCATTTGTTTCTTCAAATTTTGAAATTGCATGTATTCATAACTTTTTCGACATAAAACTATTCTTGATTAAATTTTTGTATAACCAAATTATTTCTAGCATTTAAAATAGAAAATCGCTAAAACATGCACAGAACTAAAAAATAAACAGATTACAGAAGTTACTCTAGATGAAGTCATACGACGATTAGAAGCATACAATATAATGGACAAATCTTCAAATAATTCGTAAGATGACGCTGAATATTTTGTGTCATAAATTATTTAAAATAAAAATAAAAATTTAACTTTAACTGAATAATAATATAAATAACCTTTACAATTGTTTTTTCCTTGTGCCCTTTTTACCTTTTTAATTATAAATAATTGTATAATGACAAAACATAGACAATTTTTAGTACTTAAAAATTAAATAACAATTTTCTTTTTTATTTTTCTTCATCTTTCAATTGCTATAAATCAACCAATTTTTGAGAGAAGAAAATAGTTGTTTTAAAAGTATTAAAAAAATTTTTATCCATCCGAATCTGGTATTAAAAATACCTATAGACATAAAAAAAAATGCAAATAATGTTGAGCTTATGTACACTGTAAGTATTTTAAAATCGTCAAAAAAAACGATATTTCAGTACTCCTTATCTCCTTCTGAAAACCCCATTTCAATCCGTGGTCACTAAACAGAAATATTTTGTACTACCATTTGAGTGAATCACATTGTATACGTTTTAAAAATAGTTTGTAGAATAGAAATTAATATTAGTTATTCGTTTTGGGTTAATTCTATAAAAGGTCAAAAGATTCCGAGACGTTGGCTTAGTATTACTCTTTTAAAGTGAATGTGTAATATCTAAGTGAGAACTTTGTTCATAATAATTTCAAGATATTTAATTTTAGTAAAAGTTTGTTATTTCTTATAATAGAATTAATAATAATACGACCAGAAAATATTCGGTAAAATGCAGAATAAATTTCACATAAAAATTAATTGTCTTTGAAATTTAGTATTTTATTTATTTTATTTATACCATTTGGTAATATCTTTGGAGTAATGATACAACAAGGATCATGAGTATGATATTAGATTTAGATCGTTATCAAACATCGATTCTGAAATAGTTTACTGAATTTGAAAGCGCTTGTATATTATTTAAAAGTAAATAATGTAGCTCTACGATGGGATATATATATTATTTTATTTCTTTCAGAATGGAAGACATATTACAAAATATCGATACAAACTAAGTGGTTTAATAGGTTATATTTGAATAAGTATGTAACATAATGAACTATATTTTGTCATTTGAGTACAAGGCACACCAATAACGCCAATGGTTACGAAAACAAGTGGCACGTCTTAAGAAGTCTGGGAAACAATTCCACAGTTTTTCCCTAGTCTTCGAAAATATGAGAAAACCAATAATCCATATCAGTGAATCATTTTTCAAGGATTCGTTTTTATTGGATTTGAATACAAGTTTTTTACATAAATTATAAAAAAATTACAAAATTTATCAACGGCGCGCCGTGCCATTTATGTTGAAGCATGTACCACCCACAATACAGGAAGTTTGATTACAATTTTTGCCAAATAAGTTCAGATTGTTCACTATCATATATTTCTTGCTTCGACATCTCGGTAATTGAACTTTTGAGTTTCTTCTTCTTCTTTTATCAAACACTTTTCTTTTCTTTTTTTTTTTTTGTTCTGCATGACAGAAAGTCAGACAGTTTTGACTTTTAACACAAGAAACGTGACACAGCTCCCTCTCAAATCCAGAAGACTTCTAACTTACAAGTGAGAACTGCATAAATCTATAATTTAAGCAATTTAAGCTGTTCTATCTGGTTGGCTTAACTATAAAAACTCTAACTTTTATCTTAATTATAAATCTCTGAATTCTTATATTTTAATCTAACCTTATATTATTTATAACCTTGTACTATACATATAAAAGTTTGCCTCTTTCCATTTTCCTTCCTAAACATATGTAATTAAAATATAAAACCATTAAATCACAATAAGTAAAAAAACGAATCACGCATTATTCAATAAGCAACATGTATTGTACTGACCATCTATGGAATATTCCTTAATTTACTCATGATCTCAAAAACATTCAGGTACATATCTAATGAAATTATCAAAGTAGAAATGATAGAACCTATTGACTTGAATTTTATTTAATTCAGTTACGAGAACTTAAGAATAAAAACCATGAGTTAAGCACCACTGTAACACGATGGCAATGACGATAAGAAATATCGCAGCGCGGTGAACACAAATGTGTCGAATCCATTTTCACCACCGATGCGGCATTTTCTTTGAAAATCC